GATGTGTGCCAGGTAATCCGTTACGTCTCTCTTCTCGGAACCTTCTAACTTCTCTGCAAATTTTCCTTTTATTTTATTTTCAAGTTGGTGTTCATTTAGTAAGAGTATTTGATCTCCATATCGGATGCGTGCTGTCGAGGCGAAGAATGCCAACATCTCACTGCCAAGATTGATTTGGGCACTCTCGTCGATCAACTTGCTCACAGGCAAATTTGAATTTGCCGTGGCCAAGACTGCAATTTTCGGGTCCTTCTTCAGAGCTGCGGCTATACATGCGGCTGCCAGGCGCGTTTTTCCTGTACCTGGGGGCGCCTGCTGGTAATGTAGGCGCCCCCTTCCTTCATGCAGCCAATTAGAGAGTGTATTTTGCTGTTCTTCATTTAAACTCTTTACACACTCTAATTCCTTCGGAATATCACCTCCAACCACCGAATCGTCCGTCCCTGGACGCCCGAATAAAGATTTGAGTATTTCAGTTCGTGGAGATTTTTCTTCTTTAATTAATTGAGTTGGGGCATGAAGACCGAATGTGTCTGCTTGATCGCGGTACCCGCCGGGTGTTTCGGCAACTTGAATAATTGTAAGCATTCCGTGTGTCATAGCTTCAAAGTCTTCATCGTGTTCATAAAGACCTTCATTTGGGACTAGAATTATATTAACTTCAATTTGTAGTAATCCGTCATCTCGGTCACATTTAACTACTTCTTTAATGTAACCGTTCGCAAATGCCTTCCTTTCAAAACCAGTTTTAGCAGTTACTGGTGTATCTTTTGTCCAAATACTGAGTACTTTAGCTATGTGGGATTTTTGTTCGTGTATGTGGTTAATCGTGAATGTTCTCTTCTTTTCATCTTCAATCGGTTTAACTACTCCGAAATAACTGGTTTCCATTCTACCAACTTCTTCATTTTCCGCTGCAGTAATTAAAGCTGCTGCAATTATGTCTTCAGCCAACTTCATTTCCTTGAGTGTATAATCCTTATCAATAGGAAATACTTTCGGAAGTCCTGTCTTCGTTAACCAGCGCCATTTTTCAGTGAACGGTTCAGCACAGGCTAAGATTTGAGATCCTTCTTTAGCCATAATTTCTGTTCCGAGTCTATATGATCCTCCGGGTGGAACTATATAATTTGTTCCTATCATCCAACCAGCTGGGATTGGAGCTAATTTTAGATTTACAAATTCTGATAGCCGTGTTTTTGATAAGTCAAGACCGTGTCTGCATTGTTTTGCGTATAGCATTCCAGATCTCTCCATTCCATACGCTGTCACACGAGCTAGCGCTGCTTTGCCTTCTTTCTTCTTCAAATATACAATAATTCCTGTTTTAGTTGTCCAATAAGGAAAGTGTGTTACATCAATCATTAATGCTGTGGCTTGGTAACTTAACATTCCTGTTTCCTTTCTATACCAGTTGTCAATAGTAACTTGTCTTCTTCCTTCAATCCATGCAAACTTAGTTACGAATATTGAGTCTCCTGGAAATAGCGGACGTTCAAGATCAGTTGTTAGTTCATCGGGAATTTCAATTGCAAACGGCCACATCGATAATTTTTCAGGGTTTGGAATAACTGCGATTGATCGTTTCTCTTGCACTTGAGAAACCACATATCTCTTCTTTCGACTTGCAGTTATGGCTTCCTCTTCAATCTTCTCTTTCTTCTTTTCAGATTTAGATTTTACTTCTTGCCATTCCTGATTTTCAAAAGCCTTATTAGCAAATGATTCTTCTTTATTCGGGTTTTCCCAGTTAGAAGACGATTGAGCCCATTCAGATTCGTTTATTTCGCCTTCCTCCATTTGTTCTTCTTCATTTTCCTCGTTTATTTCCATATCTTCTTCAAGAATGAGCTTTTCCATACTTTCAGAAATTTCTTGTCTTTCTTCTTTTTCAGCATCTTCCATGATCTTTTGGAAAGCCTCTTCTTCTTCCACACTTGTATGTGTGGTTGATTTTGGTTTTTGTGAACCCGTAGGTTCCATGGTCATAAGACCAGCAGTTTTGTTTAAGTTTTTTGAATCCGTAGATTCCATGGTCAAAAGACCAGCATTTTTATTTAAGCTTTTTGAATCCGTGGATTCCATGGTCAAAAGACCAGCTTTATTTGTTGTTGTTGTTTCATTTTTCTCAGTTTTGAAATAGAAATGACCGCGGCCACGTTTTCGAACATTTTGATTGTTGTCCATTGATAACTGAAATTTAGTTTTTAATTTAAAAAAAAATTTTTTTTTTAATGGGAGAAAAAATTAAGTGTGAGTTAAATACGCGGTTGTATAAAAATTAAATATGAAATAAAATAAGCGAATAAAAATTTGATTAATTGAAAAAGTATTAAATGATTTTAAAAAAATGAAAATTAAAAGATTGATTAAGTGAAATTAGATGAATAAAATAAGAATTTGAATGTATGACCCCTATTAATTTTATTTTTTTAAAAGGAAAATTTTTTCTTTTTTGGATTTTCTCGTAAATTATATTTCTTGCGAGTGTCCTTTTCTACTAGTTCAGTGTTTGAGTTTTGATTTTCCTGTGTATCGGGAGTTTCTATTTCTTGGGAAATATTTTCATTTTCGATACCTTCGTTTTCTTCAGCTCTTACCAGAGCCTTTTCTTCTTCACTCGATAGTTCAGGTACCGTACAAGCGGGTGTTAGTGCTTCAAAACACTTTTTTAGTTGATTTATATGCACTTTTCTGGGTGTACCCTGAGGTGAGTTACAACTTACTATTGTGACATGTACTCCTTCAATTTTTACTACTCTGAATACACCTTTCCAAGGCATATGAAATTTCTTAGAAGTTCCTATTTTCCCTGCATAGTTTCTGAGTAATACTCTATCTCCTACTGTGACTGTGGGATTTCTTACTAATTTGTCATATTGAGTCTTTGCTCTTAACTGTGCTTGCTTATTTGCTTCATCTGCAGCCTCCCAGGCGCATCTAAGTGAAGTGATTAGTCTTTGCTTAAATTCGGAAATGTCTGTAAACGCAACAGGACTGTACACTGACGGGTCTAGTATCTGGTCTACGCAAAAGATAGGATCACGACCAAACATGAGAAAGAATGGCGTTTCACCTGTCGACACGTGTATCGAAGTGTTATAACAGAAGCATGCGCAGTCTAAAAATTCGTCAAAATCTGGTTGATCCTTACTTATGTACTTGGAGAGAATATTATGGAATGTTCTAAAGGATCTTTCAGTCACTGAGTTTCCTTGGGACCAGTGTGGTGTGGCATAGCTTTTATTAATGTATAACATTGAGCAGAAGTCCTTAAAGAATTCGCTTGTAAAAGCTGTGGCATTGTCAGTTACTAGTTCAACACAGCCACCATATTTTAAATAGCAATTATTGAGAAATGCTCTTGCTAGAGTCATTGCTTTAGTGTCAGGGACTGGTACCGAAATAACGTATTTAGTGAACCAGCAAATTATATTCATTACATGTTTATTGCCATTTTGTGTTAGTGGGAATGGTCCTGCTAGATCTAACCCAACTTTAGCAAACAGTGTATTAACTGGTACCATTTGCATTTCTGCCCTATATGGTGGATTGGGTGAGTGTCTAAGTTGACAAGTTATACAGTTTCTTGTCCAGGTTAAAATATCAGCGTGCATTCTTGGCCAATAATATTTTCTACACTTCTTGAGGGTCTTTTTCAAATTCATGTGTCCACCCCCTAGTTGAGAGGAGTGAAATGAGTCAAAGATTAGAGCCCTGAGTGAAGATGGTACAAATATTCGTGGTTTAAAATTCGGAAGTTTGTGACATAGTATATCCCCTATAATTCTCAGATTTTCGGCATTTAATACGAATTTCTCCTGATCATTGTGTGATATGTCTTCTGGGAGTTCCCTGGTTTTTATAAATTTAATATAATCTGCAGCTTCCATGTCATTTTCTTGTTCTTGCTTAATGTCTATTGCATAATTTTCATTTTCTTTCCTAAGTGTTAACACTGAGGCGTAATGTTCATTAATAAGCCCATCTTTTATAGGGAGCGTGAAACAAACTGGGAATTCTGCAATGTCTTCTAGTTCAGTTTGCTCTTCTTCAGGCTGGTTTTGCAATCGCGAAAGTGCATCAGCGAGTAGATTTTCTTTACCAGCTATGTGTACAATTTTAATATTGTAATTTTGCAATTCTATAAGCCAGCGTGCTAAATTTGGGCTTGCATCTGCTTTCTTTAGTAGGTAAGCAAGAGGTTTGTGATCTGTGTGCAGTTCTATTTCAGCCATATAAATAAAAGGTCTGAATTGTCTTAAAGAGAATATTATGGCGCCCAGTTCGATTTGGACGGGTGCCCATTTGCGTTCTGAAATTGTTAGAGTCCTGCTACAGTACGCGATTGCTTTATATGTATTATTTTCAATATCTTTTTGCATTAGAGCGCCTCCCTGTCCAGTAAGGGACGCATCGGTGAATATGTGGAAAGGTTTTTCGTAATCCGGAAATACAAGAACTGGTTGACTAGTTAGGATTTTCTTGATTTTATCAAATGCTTGCTGTTGTTCGTCACCCCAATGGAATTCGATTTCCTTCCTAGTAAGCTTTGTGAGAGGTTCAACTATTAGCGAAAAGTTTTGAATATGCTTTCTGAAAAATGATGCCATGCCTATAGCTTGCCTAACTTCTTTGACAGTGGTGGGTGCAGGTAAATTATTTATTGTTTCAACTTTAGCGATACTGGGAGTGTACCCTTTGGCATTTATTGTGTATCCTAAGAAATTCATTTCCCTTGAGGCAAATATGCATTTCTTGGGACTTATTTTTAGAAAATACTTTCTTAATCTGGTAAAGACCTGCCTTAATGCTTTTAAATGTTCATCAAAGTCTGGAGATTTTGTAAAGACTAGGAAATCATCTACATATGCTAGAACACACTCATCTAATCCGCTTATTACATGCGCCATTACTCTCGCAAATGCGCTTGTTGCGTTCCTTAGCCCAAAAGGCATGTGTGTCATTTGGTATATCTCATCTTCCATTATTACTCCACATTTTCTAGAAGCTCTTTCTGTTAATCTAATCTGTAGGTAACCGCTTGACAAATCTAGTGAGGAATAATAGTTGCAGTTTCCTATCCTTTCCATTATTGATTCTAATCGCGGAAGAGGAAAGTGGTCTGGGACTGTTACTTCGTTAAGCTTCCTAAAATCAATGCAGGGTCTTAAACCTCCGTCTTTCTTTTGTACTAGAACTATGTTCGATACCCATGGAGTGTCTGATTTAACCATTACTCCAGATTTTAAAAGTGCTTCAATGTGTTTCTGAAGTTCTTCTCGGTATTTAAATGGAACTCTATGTGGCCTAGATGTTATAGGTTTTTCAGTTGTGGTAATAATGTCATATTCACCTGCTATACATGACCCTAGATCATATTGTGTTTTACTAAATACATCAGAGAATTCTTCACACAATTTTTCTAATTTTTGTCTATCTTCCCCCTGTACTGAGCTTTTAGAGAAGTCTACCTTGAATGTCGGATTTGCTTCTACAGTGTTTACATATTCATTGACATTAATGTTTTCTACCTGTGTTAACCATGGCTGTTCATTAATTGACCAAACCTCATCAGCCAGAGCAATGTGCATTCCTTTACATATGTGCTTTGGTTCAGTTGTTGGATTGGCAATCAAAATTTTGTTTTCTTTTGCATTTGGTGCGACCACTGCTTCAATGAGTGCAAGATGGTCCTTCTCAAGCCTTTGGTCCAGTGAGTGTACAAGTGCCAATTTTTCTCCACCATTAGTTTTAATTTTCACTGAGACAAGTCCGTGTTTTCCTGGTAAAATTGTTTTAGCTTCAATAGCTGCTACACGCATGTTTTTTGACTTTGACTTATTTTTATCTGAATAATTAAATTTGTTTTCAAAATTAATTTTTCCTTTATTAAAATCGAATGTTATTGGCGGAAGTCTTTTTAGAATGTCACATCCTATAATTAATTGGTATGTTCTATTTCCTGTAATTTGATTGTCTTCAACCACTCTTATAGTTACAGGTAATTTAGTATCCGCAATTTCTAGTAATACTTCAGCTTGAGCTAATACATTAATTTCATGCCCAGAGGCAGACGTTATGCTAATTGTTGCTGGTGTTAGGTTTAGTCCTAAAGTCCTTGCAAGTGAGATAGGAGCAATCGATATGCTCGCACCTGTATCAATTAAACATTTTACTGCTTTGTTGTTTATAAACACCCCAGTTATTGTGGGACATGACTGTAGGGTATTTATAGAAAAATTTTGTGATGCCGTGGCATCCATGTCTTTCGACAGCTTTTTATCACACATTTTGTTTGCTCTCATGACATTTACAGTGTGACCTTCAGTTTCTACCGATTGAGGAAATTTAGAAACCTTTGGGATCCAAGACATTTTTCGTCTTTGTGACCTTACACTTGGAGTTTTTTCTCTTTTAAACTCAGGATTTTTGTTAACTTTGACCATTGGAATCTCTTCTGTGTTTCTGTTAATGCTTGTCTGTCTAGCTCTGTTAATTATATTTCGACTTTGACCAAATAGCATATTTCCTAACTGTCCTTGTCCTAAATAATTTTCTGCTGCTTTAATTCCCCATCTTATTACTAAATCTAGAGTTAATATGGCTATTAAAATTGATATTATGACCTTCCAAATCCATGTATAGTCCCCAATAATTTCAGTAACGAGACTATTTCCTGCCTCTTTCCATTGATCAGAGAGCGTTTTTACTATATGCATATCTTTTTGTTCAATGCGATATGAAATTTCGCTTGCACGGACTAGGTTACTCATGAATGTATGCGTTTTGAGATCCGTGAGATTTACTAGCATTAATTGATGGAATGAGTGTGATTTTATTTCAGGTATACTGTAGGATTTGAGTTCCCTTAAATTGATTGGACGAGGTTGAATTTTTCTAAATTCCCCTGAGGTCTGGTTTACTTCTAGTACCTCATGATTTATTTCTACAATTGTTTTCCCATATATTGAACAAGGTGCTTTTCGAGCTGTGGGCTCAATTGTCATGGTTAGTGGATTAAGGAATGCTAAGTGTTCCCGACTTTCTGCTTTGAACTGAATTGGGATTAAGTCGAAACATTCGCTAAGATTAGTAGCTTTGAAAGAGTACTCGTCATTTTTAATTGGTATACATGGCCATACACGCAGTAGTGATGACCCTTCTCGTTTTGCCGTGACATAGTCATTTTCAAATATCATTCTAGCTAAGCCCGTTGGGTTGGACAAATATGCAGCAAGTGCCCATTTCTTAACTAGATCCAAATTTTGGCAAAAGGTTTTAAGCGAATGCGTGAAAGTAAATGTTAGAGTGTCAGCCATTTCTTTGTCTAAATATGTTAGCTTCGCTGCCATTTCAGGTGATGTTACTAAGCTAAGTTTTTGGTTACTGACGCTTCTTTTAGAGCGACGCCTAGTGACTGTAGCTAGTCCTTGTTCGGAAATTTCTAGAATATTACTGCAATCCCAAAATTTTGGAGCAGGTTTAGCAAAATGAAGTGCTAATTGTGCGTCATCCGACAACCAGGTGTTATCTAAAAATTTTCCTTCCCAAGTCCCAATTTTGATATATCGACACATTCTATCCTTTGTGGGTTCCCATTTTAGTACAGTATTGTCACTTAATACACAAAGACCCTTCGAATAGGAGCAATTATTACTTTCCCCAAATGAGGTTCCTATACCTTCTTCACCCCAATGGGAATTAATTTGTACACTAAATAATAAGCAATTTTCGGATTGGACCTCGGTCCACCAGAACGATCCTATGAACCACATTTTCGGACTCGCGTCTATTTTATTTGCAGTGGTCCAAAGATCATTTTCTTCAATTAATTTACCTAAACTACATTCTTTATTTTTAATCATTCTCTTACATTCTTGTTCATCTACTGGGAGAATTTCAGAGCCTACAGGTTCATTGATTGGTACATTAGACAGGGTTGTAAATTTTCTAAGAGTTTTTCTTATTTTTCTACAAGCCCATCCTTGGGTTGTGTACTCTAAGTCATTTAACATGTATACATTTCTAGTTTGCGAAATTGGTACATGAGAAATATTTGGAGAGGGTATTGGACAGTCTGTCATGTCAGGAAGAGACCATAAAGTAGACTGTTTTTCAGTTTGGCATATCATTGGGTACTGTGGAATTGATAATCTTTCGATTGCCTGCAGTGGTGCTGCTAGCGCTAATACTAGAATTACCATTGGGAGTAGTTTGGGACTTAATTTAAAAGGTTCCCAAGAGACAATAGAAGGTTTTTCCTTCTTAACATTTAATTGCTTTTCTTCGGGTTCGTCATTTATTGGCTTTGTTTCACCATGTAAGAGATTAACATTTTGTGAGGAGCCATTATTTTTAGAACTTCCCACCTGCATGTTCCTTAGGGTTGATAATATTTCTTTTAGCATACCACTATCATTGGACATATTTGATGGACCAACATCTGGTTCCCTTCGGCTTTGACCACGTTGTGTTTGAAAGTCTGCAATTCTGGTGCGACATACATTTGCAAAGTGACCAACTTTCGAGCAATAATTACAAATAGGTCTGTTGTTCCATCGTCGATCATTGGTTGGTGTTCGCATTTGTCTTGTGTCACGATAGTTCATGTCTCGTCGAAGGTTGTTTTGCCTAAATTCTCCAAAATTATTTCGATTATTTTGAAATTCATTTCTATTTTGACTTTGTCCCCACCTTTGTCGAGCTTTTGTCTATTTGGATTGGTGGGATTTAGTGATTGGAACTTCCCTGGTACATTAAAGGAATTTGATTGTTGCATTGCATGCACTTCTTGAGTTGGCATGTCAAACATTGATCCAGTACCTCCAGGTAGCATGATTTCGACTTCACGAAGATCTAAGCATAATTGTTCAAAACCTCTATCTGTCTGAGAAAAGTTTAGTAATTTCATACAAAATGCTATGTTTGGTCTTAAACGTTCTAATAAAAGTTCACACAGATAGCGTTCCTTGTTTGGACCAGAAATATCAGCAGCTGTAGCCATTGCCAGAGGTCTAAAGCGTGATAGGAAATCTTTGACTGACTCACCTTCATGTTGTCGGCACATTAAAAGCGCTTGCCTTGATAGAGCACGTCGTTGAGGAGAGTCCAACTCCTTTCTTATGCTTTGAAGTGCCATTTCACACGTTACTTTTTGAGTTGGAGACAATTCTTCAAAGATTCTTTTGGGTGTGTCTTCCAAAAATAAAGACAAGCGAGCAAGTTTTTCTTCTTCTGAAAGTTTTACCCCAAAGACCTTAATTCTTTCTAAAAATTTCTTTCCCCATTTATCAAATGATATAATATTATCATCAGAGTATACCTCAAGCGACGGGATACCTTCGTGGTGAAGCATGTTGAGAGTGTGCAATCCTTCATCAGTTGTCATGGGTGGGTGTCTAACTTGTCCATCCACCTGTGATTCATCAGCCCAATTATTGTCATTATTTTCACTAAGATTCGAAATGTTTAGTTCTGGAATAATAAGAGGCATTAATGTTTGTTGTCCTACCCTTATTTTATTTGGGGAGGCAGACCTAGCCTTTCTTTTAGATAATTCAGTAATGTTTTGCTCACAGCTATTTATTTTATCACCCAAAGTGGAGAACCCTTGATTAACCTCCTCAGCTAATTTAGTTAACCCTGTTGAATTTTGGTTTACCTTGCGACTCATGAGTCGAATAGAGCGGTTTACACCCTCCTCTAAACGTATTGTTTCACCAAATACCTGTTCAATGTCCTGTATCTTCAGCTGAGCTGTGTTGGATTTACCTATTATGAGTTTCTTGTCAACTACATTGATTGGCGTTTCCTCCAAACTGGAAGAAGACGAGGAATTTTGTGGTACCTTGGTACCCGCGGGCGTAATGCCCTTGTTGCTTGTGTCTTCATTACCAACCATGAAGACCAATTAATCGTTGCTTTTGTTGCTTTCTGATAGCTTTTAAATTTTATCTGTAATTGATGCTTTGATTTAAAAAGAAATTAAAAAAAAATTCTTAGTGTTAGCCTTGCTAAAAGCTAAAGAGACAATTTGAAAGTGAATCTGTAAATCTTAAAATGACTCCTGTTTACAGCTTACATGAATGTTAAACGAATGTTTAAATGCTTCTTCATTTAAATGTTTAAATAACTGTGAATGCCTATTCATCCCTCACGGATGTTTACATAAATGTTTAGATGCTTATCCTTTCCTTTAAACATTTTCCCATTAATTTATTTTTACTTTACACTGAATTTTTCTCAAACACAATGTTTAGATAAATGTTTAAATGCTTATCCCTTTTCCCATTCATTTCTTTTTACTTTACACTGTTCTTTTCCCAACAAACTTTTCACTTTTTTTTAGATTGTAATTGTTTATCTTTACTTCCGCTCTTTTTCTTTCCCCTTCTCTTTGCTTTAATTTTTTTTTTGAACCTTTGACCCCTTTTGGATTGGATGTAAAAAAATTTTGGTTCATACATTCAAAATTCTTTAAAGAAGATTTGGGAAATATTGTAAAAGAGGAATTTTATAATGAACGCGAAAATTTTGAAGAGAGTTACGAAAATAATAAAAAAAAATCAAAATTGTTGGACAGTGAAATCATTTAGGGGAAAAATAACATGAATAAACAAAAAAGAAATTTTTTTTTTGAGTAGAGCAAAGGATTTTAGAGCAATAGTTGAAAACTCCAACAAATAAAATTAAAAATAAATTTGTTGTAGAGCAATAGATTTTAACACAATCATTGAGTAAAAGAAAAATTTAATGTATAAAAAATTCGTTTATTGGGCAGTAGAAAGCTATATATAAACAAATTTATTACCCATATTTGAATATAGATAAAAGCAGTTTTAAATAATTGATAGAAAAGCCGTTTTGCGTTTCTTTAGTTTTTAGCGTTTCGTTTTCTTTTGCAATGCGTTCTGGCGTTTTTGACA